TTCACACCCTTTCTCACGTTAGTTTTTATAATATGGTTAAATTGGCTCATCCGTGTGTGAAATCTTTTTTGGATGGGATTTGTTCAATGGGCAAAAGTGAAATGAAAGACAAACCCCACTCAGAGCTTGGCAGCTGGAAGAAAGCTGTGACCACTTCTGATGGCTGCTGGCTTATTAGAGGACTTCATAGCCAATGTTGTACTTTTGTCGTTATTAATTTCTTAACTGAATGTACGTTATATTATGGTCATTCTGTTATGAGGGGCTCAAACAACATATATGATTCAGATCTCTGGAAGGGTACTTCAAAGGCAGTCGAGGGTCATCTAGCTGAGGTCTGTTTCACTAAAGCTAAAGAGGAGGGTATGGTGGTTGCCATAAATTGGCAAGATGCTGACTCCTTGTCAGCAAAATCATTTCACTTTGTGTTCCCTGACAACTCCCTTAGCCGTGTCATGCTTTGTGGAGGTCATGTAGGTCGTGCACATGGCAACAACCTTAAGGAATATAAGGAGAAAAAGTCTGTGGATTTGTCTGTTGTGGCCACTCACCAGAAGGATTGTCCTGAGCTAGGAAAAGCAAAATGTGAGTGTGCTGGCAAGCGAGCCCACTCGAAAACCTGTGGTTGTATGTCAGATGAATTTCTGGCTAGAGTTAAAAGCAACCACTTTTCAGCACTGAATTAGGCTGGGAATGACCCAGAGGAATATGCCAATCGTATGCGTATTCTGGGGAAATATCATTCCCGTGACTTTCATGAGTGGATTGGAGATGATGGCAAAACACACAGATGTCCTTGGCACCCCCGACATGTTTGCTCTTGTGGCAAATGTGACAAACAGGATAGTGTCGACAGTGCAGATAGTGGAACAGGAAGGCAGGTAGATCCGGAGGAGGGTAGGGAAGATAGTGAAGATGGCAGCATCGAAGGTAGCAAGGATAGTGAAGATGGTGAAGACAGTGATGGGGAATACAATACTAATTACAGTTGTGAGGGTAAGCCCTATAAGGTCAGGGGGAGGGCACTTACATGTGAACTCCACAGCCTTCTCTACAAGATTGAGTGCAATCGGATTGCAGAGAAGGCAACGGAGGTCGTACATTCAGTAATGGGGAAGGGCCATTCCAATTTACCCGAAAGTAAATTTAGTGTCCTCACAAAGTTCAGACCTAAGGACACGAACCTCCACCAAATTTATTATGAAGTATCAACAAATATGGGCCTTTGTCAGAGTAACATGACGTACCTTACAAAGCGCAAAGGCAATACTTATCACTGAGTTTTGAAATTATTTGGAAAGATGGGATTGCCTACTGTGGACGGCATTGAGGCAGTGACTGCAAAAGAAAATGAAGAAAGGATGAGGAGACTGGAAAATCAGAAAACAGACAGGGCCAAGCAGAAGAGAGTGGCCTTTAAACAAAAGCGTCAGCAAGAACAAAAGAAGAGGTACAGTACTTGATTGAGTTGCTAGGCTATCATGTTCATTATATTGGCAATGAAAATGGTTCATTTATTGCACTGGCTATGCTTTGGGTGAGTTTTGTTCATTTGGCTGTGGATTATACACTGCTCGATAACATTATTGATAATGATATAGCTGTAAGATGTAGAACATTAATGTTTTAATCAATCATCCCTGTCACTTGAAATCCGGAGTACCACTGTTGAGGCCTCAAATGTAATAAATGACGCTAAATGTAATAAAGGTCCTAAGTGTAATAACTTTTGGCCCTAAATGTAATAAAGCTCCTAAGTGTAATAACTTTTGGCCCCAAAATGTAGTGAAGGGTCTAATTATATGTGTAATCGGTTTTAGCCCTAAATATAATAGAAGTCTTAACAGTATACATGTATGTAATATAACAGCCCCAAGCTTGATAAAGTCCATGACTGAAACATGCGACGATATTAATGTTATAGCCAGCTGGTGATTCACTTTGTTCGCCCTATTGTAGTCTTCATAGATATTCATTAACTTAGAAAGCGGCTAGAGCGCTGAAGAAGTAGGAGAAACACTTAACTACGTCTCGATCGTGTTTCCTACTACATCCCTACATCGTGAAACGCGAGTTATAAACAAATGGAATCTACACAAAAGTTTTCAAAATACAGTAGTTATTTAGTAATTGAAGGAAGTATTAATGTTCATTAGAAACAATCGTGGTAAATTGACTACTTTTGCCTAATGTATGGGGTTTTTAATGTTGCGCCAAAAAGAGAAATGTTTTTTTTTACCATTTTGCAAAAGAGTATGTCGGTCGGTCCATACAGAATGCTGTGAACACGAAGTTATATATAAACAGCAAGATATTAAGGGCAGTATATCTTTATAGTTTTTCTGACTTCCCGACTTTGATTTTAATTTCTACCAGGAGTACTTCTTGAAGTGAATTTTTATGCTAACTTTTTTTCCAGGATTTCACCACATGAATGAAATGACATTTTCAAATAGCAGCTGGCTTTCCTGTTTTTCTAGCGAGTATATAAGGAACTCTTCTTTGAAGACCCAAAATCTTTTTTTTAGAGCTTAGAAGAAGAAGAAGAAGAAGAAGAGGAGAAGAACAAAATGATGATTGTGATTATGATGATAAAGGTGGTCCAACCACTCAGTCAACTTCCAAATGAAATACTCGACAAAATAATAGACTTCGCATTAACTGGAACTGACATAAGTATAATTAGCAGCTATAATTCCCTTTGCCAGCTTGGTGAACCCTTTAAAGAACTCTCAATGCGTTATATTCGTTGGCTACCACGAATAAGCTACAACAATCGCAACACTGCGCTAAGTGGCTGTTTCAGCTTGCGCAAGTTGTGCAAAGAATTTGGCCCATACAGAGACAATGCAGAGATATAATAGCCAGCCCCAGATGGATAAAGGCGTGGGTTGAGCTGTTGTTTGCTGGGGTTGGAACTTGGTTTTATGTTACCAATGTATGGTGGAAAGGACGAGGGAGCAATTAAAGTACACTTACTTGCACCTATTTGTTAACAGACAAAGTAAAAACAGTTTCGCTGATTTGTGTTATTGACTCAGATTAGAAATGATGGTGGCACTACAGGCTGCAATTTTGCATTTAGGCCTCTGCCTATGAAGCAGATTTTTTGTAGTTCAATCCAACGGATGAAGTTACAGTTTCTTGAGAAAATTTGCTATAATAAACGAGGCTCTTTTGTTTTGTTACATAAGTTTTAAGATACGTCAGTCCTTTTTTGACAATAAGGAGTTCTTAAAAAAAAATTGCTTCATATCATGGACCTCTGTTTTCAAGTTGTCGTTAAAGAAGTATTATTGATAACAATGCTAACTATTCAACCTATTTACAATTAATCACTATTCGGTCAAAGGACTATTTACAATTCACTTCGATTAAACATTCTTTGTGATAATGATATCAATAACTGAATAATAAGTTGTTTCTCAAATGGCTATATAGGGGATCAGACACATTCTGGCACTCAGTTAACCTGTAATAAGGCTAAAAGCAAACGCTATGAATCGTCTTATGACATAAAGCATATAAAAAGCTGAATGAATTACACTTGGGACCTTTATTACATTTAGGGCCAAAAGTTATTACACTTAGGACCTTCATTACATTTAGGGTCAAAAGTTGTTACACTTAGGACCTTTATTACATTTAGGGTCATTTATTACATTTGAGGCCTCAACACCCCCCTTCCCCCCACCCTGGGGGTCAGTTGTGGTAATTTTCTTAAACATTACTTTTTTCCTTACAAAGAATTTGATTCTTTTTCTCTCTTTTGTTGTTGTCTTTTATCAGGCATCAATTTACTACGCGTCAAAGAATTGTCCACACCTATGGAAATGAGGATGATGGGGATGATCTGGATGAAGATGTGGCCTTGGCAGCGGTATTACAGAACACTCGTGGAACTGAAGTCAATGCGACAGCTGGGCCATCTAGGGCCAATTCCAAAATGAGCGTGTGTGGAGGAACTGATTATCTCCGTAGATCAGCATGTTATGCCCATTAAATAAGAGGCATTCAAAGTGACACTTTAATTATTTTGGGAAAAAGTAAATGAGGTACAATATTTTTATCAGTGCAGCCCAGTAGGCTTTGGGTGAAGTATTTTAATAAGGTGATCTTTTCAGTATTGTTGTTGATACTCACGAAGGAAAAGTCCACAATAGCTTGATTTTGAATGGAAAGTGGTAATTTATTGTTACCATGAATAGAGTTTGAATCACTGTTTCTAGGAGCATATATTAAATTGTCTTTCACCATGTCTTTCACCATGTTTGTTAAAAAAATTAGTGTTTTCATTCTACCAGGAAGCACACATGAGTTTCTTTTTAGAATTTCAGTCGAGCTTATTAAAAGCCTGAATCCAGTTCTGAAAATTTTTACAACACGTGCTTGCTGATGAAAAATTCCTTGCACAGTTGAAACATAACACCTATAGCTATCCTCGTGTATTTACTTTTGTGTGTATGTTTCGTCAAGAAGAAACTTTGCTTCAATAATGAATGAAATTCACAATACCAAGCAGAAGCAAACCAGACAATTTGGTTTTGAGGGTACTTACTGCCAGGAACGTGAACATTTCCCAGTATATAAACGCTTGAAGGTCTTTATCCGGTGCATCGTCCGGTTTGCCCGATAGAGACCTCACATTTGCCAAAAGCTTTCTTCGCCGAACGGGTAATTCAAGGCTGAAAGAAAGAAGAAGTGATGGTCAATAAGAATATTTAAAATGTGTAGAATCAGATGATCGACAGTAAATAATTCAACCAAACAAATCTTACCCGCAGTTTAACGCGTAGAGGTTCCTCACCTCGGAGGAAAAGGGCAAATGAAAATAAAGTCAAAATCCAAAGCCACAATCCGCACATTCCCTTAAAAGAATAAAAACAAGCAACAACTTGTTATTAAGGTTAACTCAAGCAAATAAACAAACCCAGGAGACAGAATTAAAAAGGCATCTCTCTTTTTATACAACTGGAATTACCATCTATTTTACAGCTGTTTAAAAAAGAGGAAAACTATCTACATATTGTTTATTCTAATAAATTACGTAGTTCTCTGTAGTTCAGTTCCCTCTCAAAACCCCATTATATAATGGAGCTATATAGCTCCATACTTTTCATATAAAATGTTATGGCACGATAGAACCACTCAGAATGTCTACTGAGTGACCCTCGCTGGTGTGGGTACGGATATTTTCTAGCACAATACTTATATATACACCTATTTCAATTAAGGTTGCTCCCGTGAACCATGTTTCATAGCCTGCAGTGCACTATGGCAAACCCTTTTGTAGCGGGAAGTTTAGTCTTGTTCACATTCATTGAAATAATGGAGACCATTTTTGAAAAGACGTTAAAGAGAGCTTTCAAGTCAAATGGCTGCTAAAATTCTTAAGCATGTGTGAGCTGAAGAATTTCATTTTAAAAATCTAACAGTAAGAAATTAGAAGCCTCTTCTTTCAACAACATTAAATGAATAGGGTTTTACCGCCAGACTAAGCTGCGTTTTCTCATGGGCCAGAAAGCTGGTTATTTCAATAAAACAAATCAACTGGCCTATTCTTTTTTCTATTTAGTGTTTAAAAAAATGGCCTCTAAAATAGATATTTGCGTAACGTTAAGTTATTTATTGTAGTTCATGAACAAACACCTTGAATTTCATTTTTATTTAACTCCATCGAAAATGCCCACGTGCACGAGCCAAGCAAACTCGTTGAAAATTTGCAGCATTTGCATATTTCCACAGAGAAAAACCTAACCTCAAATCACTGTATAAATTAAAAAGCCTAGAATTCAGTGTTTTGTAACACATTGTCTTAGATAACGTTCTGCTGACATAGCATAGAAGCGTCAGCAGCATTTGCTTTCTAGGTTTCTAGGTTTCTAGGCTCGTTGCGGGTACAAAACTTCCGATTCTTGCTAGACTTGCTACAGTAATGCACCCGCTGGCTATGAAACATGGATCATGCATCATTCTTCTCTGAAGCAACCTTCATTGAAATAGGTGTATATGACAGTCACTATATATACATATGCAGAATTATTATATACACATTCTCAAATTCAAAATAAATACCTCAATTATCTTTAAGCAGTATTCGCGCATTTTCAACAACTGATGAGGGTAAATGGAGGGGCCTTTTTAGGCTCGTATGCCACCCTCCCTTGACATGCATCTTTTCTTGTTAGCCGCGATGACCTCCTCACAAGCTGCTTTATGGTCTGTTTTACGGCTAAAAAGTCAAGAACAGTGAGCAGGTTGGATGGATAGTTGGTTAGATGGACTGTGATAACTTTTGTTAACCCTTACACACCTGCGTAGGCTCCATTTTTGGAAAATTACACTTTATGTTGCTTATTTGAAGTTGTTTATTGGATTATTCAATTGCAATCAGTTTTTTGCCATTTTGGACTGACTTTTTGGCAATATTTACTTGCTGTGCTAATGATAACCTTTAAAAATGGCGTCAGTCATGAATGGGGTTGATCGACCTATATTTAAAGCACCGGATATGTCTACTTTCTGAATATGTCCGATTATAGCTACTTTTACCTCAAAGGGAACTTTTGATATGTTATTTAGTGTTTGTATGTCAAAACTGATGCAATTGTTTAGATTTGCACTAATGTGCGTGGGTGTCTGTAAATAAAAGGAAGACTGTTTAATAAATGTGCATATCCTGCAATTATGTATTAATTAACTTCCGCTGACAGGGTATAAATCACAGGTCAACTTCAACGTTATTTAAATTTGGAAAAATAACAAAAGATACGTCATTGGGACTGGCTTGGAGTTAGTGAGGCTATTTGAGGCAGGCCAGGCTACATAATTTACTACAAACTACACAAATACAAAGAAATTAGACGTTGTATAAGTATATAAATTTCACATTAAATAGATACTATTCTACTTAAATGCAAGGACAATATTAAAGTGAAATGTTAAAAATAAAATAAAATGAAAATAAAGGACGAGAATTACTTTTTGATTTTCACAACGATCGTATCCACATCTATATAGGAGTCTTCAGTTTCAAGGATATCGGGTAGCATTTCTTTTAGTGATCTTTTAAAAGCTTTTTTTTGTCTTTCTTTAAGAATTTGAGGTATCCCATTCCAAATTTTGACCCCAACAAGCAAAAAAACAGGTAGAGCTAAAATGCACGCAGATTATCAATTTAACTGCGGAGAATTATTCCTTTACCTGGGGAATTCATAGGATTCCCATTGGCAATAACTTTTTGGGGCCCATCTGGTAAAACTTTGATGGATTGGCTGTAAGGGCCTGTGTGCCCAAAACATTAAACCAATATGTGAAAGCTGCAGCATGGCCTCTCACAACTGGAGACTTAAGGCCACAACAGCGGAGTGTTCCCAGCCTCTTGCCTTTTGTCTCACTTAACATTTCTGAAAAAAATTAAATTAAATAGTTTTCTTTTTTGATAAATTAGTGAGCCACATCCTATAAAAATGTAAACATCATGTTCACGCTGGGGATTTTTGAGGCAAGATCAGGCCACTTCTTTCTCGTGAGGTAAAGGGTCAGCGGTGTCATTAGTTGGCTTTCTCAAAATTAAAAATGGTGGACGCAAGTGTAAACAAATTTGAAACGACTGTCCTCTCTACCCTACAGCTGGCTCAAGATGAGCTGATAAGTGCAGGAATGGAAAGTTCCCAAACGAATGAGGCTTTCCGTGAGTTAAAAATGTGGTTGTCTTCAGTTTCGAAAAGGCATTTTGGAGGTATTCGAAAACAACACAAGCACGTGCTCTTGGCAGCATTTCCCATGCTGACAAGTATTTCAAAAAGATGGTATAAAACATTCATGCGACGAATGACCCCAAGGTGTGGAGTGAAAAATCCATGGAGAGTTATTGTTTCGGAAAATCTCAGCAGGGATCTATTTGGCATGGTTCAACAAATTGCTACCAGAAGCTCTTACGGGGTTACCATGCACAGTACAAGCAAGCGCATTGTAATGGTTTTTACCAGGGAAACGAAGGTGCGACGTCTGTTTTGTGAGATTATGGATTGCGAAATCGAGGAAGAAAAATTCGTTAAGAGATAGGCAAGTGGTAAAAAGAAAGTGCAAGCTATGATCAATGAGGAAAAGGAATTTGGTGTGTCTTTTAATTGTACAACTGAGGAGATCACATTTGATTTCTTTTATGGAGTATGGAATGAATATGGCTGGCCTCAACATATTTAGGACTCATAGAAAACACAATTACTCGAACAACTTTTTTAATTGATTGTTTATTTTCTGCACTAGCATCACTGCAAAATACATTTTCTCAACAGTTTGAATTGTGGGAACAATAATAAGTTTATTTCCTTAGTCTTAATGTGTAAAATATATAACATTCATAATTTCAGTGTTAACAAAATAATGTTAAAGTTTCAACAATTGACAATTGCCCAACAATAAATACGGAACAATAAATAAGTTGACATAACTTTATTCTAAACAAGTATCAAAACTGTTTGATAAGTAAGTATCAAAACTTTTATGTTTACATTAGACCCCTGGCATTAGCTGCTAAACTCTTAGCCTGAGCAGTCAGTTTACCTTGCTTTATACAATCATCAATAGTCTGCTGTATGGGATGACTGCAGAAAGTACATTTAGCCTCCCCTCGGGGTTTCTGATTGCCACAATGACAAAATGTGGCAGTGAAGCATCGTGCAGGGATATACTTATTCCTGGTGGGTGTGTGTTTAACCAAATCACACCCATTTTCCCTAAGCCAGATAAGGGAGATGTATTCATGTCTGAATACCTGTACCCAACGTGTTGAATGGTGGGGGTTTCGAGCAAATCTGGCGAGAGAGACATGTTTAGATTCTCTGCCCTCCATTGTGTTGACCCCAAGCCCCAAACCAAGCTCCTGTTTAATTTGTTTTGTGTGAGCTGCCACACAATGGCCAATAGTCCAAGTAGTTGGAGAGACTGATGAAAAGAGTGCACATGCCCTAAAGTAATTGCGTGTAACACCTGTTAAACTTGTGACCTCTTCGTCTGTCACTTTAATTCTGCTGAATATAGACACAGAGTCCCTTAGGTTCACAGCAATAGTAGCAAACACATGCAAAGCAAAATTATGAACTGGTTGGTCATCTCCTAGTTCAAGAGCAGAAAGCAATGTCATGAATTAATGACACATTATCAAGGATTCTTTCCCTGTGAACCTGTACTCAAGGTCCTTGTTTTTCAAACGGCCGTCACATAACCACTTCCTCACCTTTTTAGCAAGTCTTCCGGCCTTTAGGGTAAACCTTACTGTTTCGTAATGCCGTTTAAAGCAGCTTGAGGCAGGAGTGTCATTGACACTCTCACAGCTACTTACATTGGTACGTGCTAACACATATTTCAAGACAGTTGAATACCACTGTTGCCATCCATTGTTTTTGACATGCAAGGGTTCCACCTTAACTTTGTCAATTGCTTTACCTAGCAAGGGGAGGAATTCCTGTCGAGACTTTTTTTGTGCAATGAATGAGGTTACCTTCTGTCTAATGGTAGCTGGCTTGAGGTGCGAACCGGAACTGCCAAGCTCTTCTTTCTTTTTAGCTACAGCACCTGCTACTGCAATTCTCTGTGCATAACCCCAAGGTTGCCATTTGTTTGAGGTTTTAACCCCAAAAGTGGCAGTAACATCACCAATATCATCTTTGTTGATGTTAGCGAATGACGAGAAATATTTTGCAGAATTGGAAAGTTCACCGGCGAGAAATGCTAAGTATTTCATGTTGTTCGGGAACATTTCAAAAGAGAATGATACTGTGATGTCCTTGCCATCAACATTTACAGGGAAGGTTTTCTTCTCTACTTCATTCATTTCGTTAGCTAACTTACACACATAGCGTCTGATGGGTTCACAATCCTCTTTACAGTTTGCTCCTATAAAAAGAAAATTTTCTTCGTGGCTGCAAATTCTGGGACCACAATTAAGAAAGCTCACTAACCAGCTTAAGGCTGTGTCATCTTTGCCAAAGGGGGCCCCATACCCCCCTATGGCAACCTTAAAAGATCCCACCCCCTTGCCAAACCAGTTAAGTTTATCAACACGGTGCTTATTAACTTCTAAGTAGAACTGAGCTAGTCTCAAAAGCAATTCAGTGAGATTTCTATACTTCCCATCTACTTTGTCTGAATCATCCAAACCATCACACAGGGTTTCTCTCACATCATGTAAGGTGCCAATGTTAATGGCATTTACCTTAGCCATCAATTCCTTGTAAGGCATGAGTTTGGGAATTAGGCAACTCTTTATAAATTTAACATGTTTTTTCCCTGTATTGTCTTCATCGCTGGTCATACTCGAAGATAACCTGATGCTGTTATACTTAGCTTTGCTGACAAGACCATCTTTATACAATACATTTACACTTCTGACAAAATTAACATCACTGCTTTCAAATTCCTTTACATTTTCATTTGCAATATTAGGAATAACTCTTTCTTTCAAAACAGGGGAAACTGAACACATCTTCCTTAGTTGATCTACAGGAGCACCTGCTATAACAGTTGCAAAAAGCCCATCATAGGCTGGCTTCATGTTGTTTTGGCTTCCTCCATGGATTTCCATAGCTGCCCGTCTAGTCTCATCTTTCTTTCTGTTGGCAGTTCTTTTTGGGCCACTTATGTCACCTTTCTCAGAGAGGGTTGTTGGAGATTGTAGTCTCTTCTCAACAAGGGAAAAGGGAAATATATTTTCTTTCTTGGATTTCTTCTTTGCAATCTAATAAAGTAAATGACTCAATTCAACTTAAAGGGGTAACCAAAATATCAGTAAACAACCCAATTAATATTTATTTAAAAAAACTGGCCCAATATTTGGAATCATCAGTCCTACCGTCCTCAGGTACATTGTATATTTAACCATATACACAGTATCAAATATATGTAGCTGGGGAGACATGGGGACGGGGGGGGCAAAAATCTTTACCTTACAAATACGGGTTCCAAGGAAAAAACAAACATGACATACCGACTGTTGCACCAGCCCTCCTCCCTGTAAGTAATGGGCAGTCCCTTATGGGTATAATTAAATAATTAAGAGTTGTTCTTGTTGATGCAAGTCACATACCTTGTTGTTTAACTCACTTGTACTTCTATCCATAGAACTCACCTATATGATAAGTACACATGTGAGTATACATACATAAATAAATCAGCACTTCCCACCTCTGATCACCCTGTCTCCTGAATTGCTATAGGTATATTGTCATTCTCCATGTTATTAAATGGTAATGGCCATAATTGAAACAAAGGAAAATCAAAATTACACCATAACATATAAGTAAATAAATGCTGGCAACAGTTACACACGATTTTAATTTATGAAATCAAGCTTTGCTATAACGCTCTCTTACCCTATCTTGAAGACGTTTTAGTTTTATCCGCTTCCTGCTCAGGTCGGTGTTTGTTTCTATCATCTTTTTCACGAGCTCATCTTGCTCCAATTTCTATAGGGAATCGTGTATAAAACTCATTCTACGTGCCATAATTTCCTCTCAAAGGCACACCACGCATGGAAGCTGAAAGGCAAAAGTAAAAAAATGAGGTCTACATATAACAACTTTGCTGAAAACTCGGGCGCAAATCCAAAATTTGGAAAAGAACAAATTCTTACCTTGGTAACGTTCTTCCTATTGTAGCTTCACTATGCTCAGAAACTACGAACTCATCTACATTCTTTGAAGCCAAACATTGCCAAAAACCCTTTAGCTGTAGTCCTTTTCAGTATTGATTGCTGTTGAATGCAAAAGTACAGAATTGTCTACAGCTATACCACGGCAAAGTTGGTATCAAACGAAAGATCAAGCGACGAAGAAGCCAGAAAATTTGATGCCAGGCGTCAAGACATGACCCCCGGAGCCTGGGGAGCTTTCAAAAAACTTATTTCCAGTCTCTCGAGTTCAGACTGCGCGGCCAATATGGCGGCCCAAATTTTTTTCGCGCGTTTCCGTGGCCAGAAACGACGCACAAAATCCCCAGCATGTTTCCAGCTCGACATGCGAAAAGTAAATAAAGCACATGGAAGTCAACAAAAACAAAATTAAGTGGAGCATGAGTGTATGTAAACTGCATAAGATAACACAGCATTGAAAAGTTTAAAATAGCCATTTGGAAAAAAAATGAGGGGGCAAATGTGCCCAACAGGCCGGCATATTACATTGGAACCTGCTCCAAAGACAATAAAATCTTTTTGGTTTTACATTGCCCTCTACGATTAAGAAAAGCTATATATAGAATTGACTGTGCATGATTTACTTCCATTAAGTTTAGCGAGAAATAATTTTGCCCATGGTTGGCAAGAGATCAGAAAAAGATAAACTCATTTTTAATGATTATTCCAACTTTATGTGAACGGTCAGTCATGTGTGATATCATCCAAGTTTGCAGCACAATTTGAATACTGACTGCCATAATCCCTTTCACAAGAGTCACGCAAAATTCCATTCTATTTTGGCAAAAAATCCCGGCAGCTTTACATAAATGAAATATTTGCTAGCAAATAGGATTTTTATGCTCCCTATCACTTCCTTCTTAATACTGTTGTATCGTTATAGGCCATTTGCACTAAGAGGTCACGTGTCATTCGCCGCCATGTTGGAGGGCAAACAAATCAGTTGCTATGCGTTACTATGGAAAAAATGGCTGCTGCTTATGACCCGGAAAGGTAAATATATCAAGTTTCCTCGCCATTTTTTGCTTTGTTTCAAAACAATGGGTTACTTGCAGACATGTATGATGTGTACTAGTCAGATTCTATTAAAAATCGTTCATTTATTTATTGCTTTAAAAAATCACTTTCGATGTTCTGTTTACTTCAACAGTTTGACCACACTTCCTCGCTGTTCGAATTTGCAGACTTATTGCCTTTATTGTCGTTTCACTGACCTTTCTCGCTTTCAAAGGGGTGTAAATATTTTGCTTTTTTCCTTATTAGTTCAAATTATAGGCTTAGAGTGATAGGTGGAAAAGATCGACTTAAGTTTAATCAGCTTTTTCTAGCTTGAATTTCTCCAACATAAACTAGTTTTAGAATCGAGTTTTAACTGTCGGCCGTTCTAAGTTTAAGCTTATTCGTACCATAAGCATTGTAAAAGCCTGATTAAAGTCATTTATCATAAGTTATAAAAATTTCTTTAATCGTTACAGAACAGAAACCATCGATCTTTCGCAGTTTCCGTCTCTAACTTTTACTGACGTTGAAAAGTATGCAGCAAGTTCCACAGGATGCGAAAGCACCAATAAAGCCTATAAATTCTTCGCTGAACCTGGACACCTCCACGATATTAAAAGTAAGTCTGAAAATAATTTTTCTATATTCCATAACCATGAATCTTAACAGCAGTCTTAGAGGTTCAAAACCATTTATTTTTATTTTTGGTAGTCACTTATGGAGCTACCGAGGCAGTAGTGTTTGCAAGATGCCACAGATCCATGAAGAAAAAAGAACCAGCTCACTCACTTAAATTGATCATCATTACTGAGAATAAGAAGGTGTGGCCGGTGCTGGTGGCTTTTGTCATCATTTTATTGGTTTGTTGTTCTACCTGGCACACCTGAAGCAACTAGGTTTTAAAAGCGTTCCCGATGACCTAACATGCACGATGGTTGCTCAGAGATGGAGCGTACCAAGGGCGAGACAGATTGAACCCCAGTGTGTCGACAGTGTATTGGTTAAAAAGCCGCAAGAGGGAGCAAACTACAACAAATTTATTAAAAGTACCCTATACTCTCCAGCAAGGCAGTATCCTTTGCTTGGCCCTGAAGAGAAAAATAAGCTCAAAAGTCTCAATCCTGAGCCTTTGCTAGTAGGTTTGTTATCAGAAAACCCTCTGAGCCTTGGAAGTATACAGACCCACTTTGGAAACTTACCAAAAGGTTCTGCATTGTCCTACCAGCAAAGGCTCACAGAACAATACATTATCAATGACTACGGTCAGACAAATTTCCCAGACCTACCACTGTCTGGCGCCGGAGATCGCTTTGTAAACAGCTTATCCACCTGTTTAGAAAGCACCAAACTTGCAAAGTTACAAACACTTACCGTCACATTAGACATGGCCCGCGACTTGGAACATAAAACAAGAGAACAAAGCGAGAGTGGACTCTGGCACTCATTACGACAGAAGAGAATAACTGCAAGTAAATTCGGCATCGTCGCAAAAAGAGTATCAAATTTTGAAACCCTTGTACAACAGCTTCAGCCTTCCAGGTACGTACAAACAGCTGCCATGAAACGTGGTATCGAAATGGAAGGAAGGGCAGCATTTATCTACGCCAGTAAAGAGAAAAAGGGCATGGCCAATGTATACCCTTGTGGTCTTGTAATAAACCCGAAATGTCCTTGGCTGGGTAGTTCTCCTGATAGAAGAGTTTATGATATAGAGGCAGTTCAAAATGGTTCATCAGACCCTTTTGGTTTGTTTGAAAGCAAAGTTGTTCAGGAGGGGGTGACGAGTTTTGATGCTGTTTCCTATTTGAAGCGCGATCCGGTTACCAACGAACTAAGACTTAAAGAAAATCATATTTACTACCTTCAAGTACAGTGCCAGCTGGGTACTACTGGGTTAGACTGGTGTGATTTTTTTTGTTACATTAATGACGATTTATTTTTTTGTCAAAGAATTAAATTCGATCCTGTTGTTTTCCAGCAAAGTAAAGACCGAGTTGACAACTTTTATTTCAACTATTTTCTGTGAAGGTTAAGTTAAGGTGCACTTCGGTAGGTCACAAATTGCAACAGCAAGTTTTTCGTTTTTGACGCCATCGTATCCGGTCATCATGGCACCAATTACGAAATAAATAGTTTTCCAGCCCGATGCCCAAGCCAAGAAAGGGGCAATGTAACTTTCTGTTGTAGTTTGTGGCCCATGAAACTAGAGAATTCTCGACCGAACTAAGAGGAATTGCTTTTTAGTATTAAAGGTCCTTGAAACTTAACCAGCAAACAAGTCACAGTCCAGAGCTGGTTGACAGTACCCA